GTGGTGAAATAAAATATAGGCGAAAGAGTTGAAAAAGTGTTCTTCAAAAAGTGGCAGAGGTCTAGAAATGAGGAAGACCGGGTGATGTGGCGGAGGCAGAACACAGTCGTGAAGTGTAACAGCTAGCTGCTGTAAGTAAAAAAAAGAATCCAGTCAGAAATGGGGTCAAGATCTATCAAAACGTGGACAACTCGGCATTAAATGTTCTGCCTTGCCAAGCAGATGAAAAATGATCAAAAGGATGTGTGTTGAGCGGGATTCATTAAATGTGGTGGAAAATTTCTGACTTGTGACGCAGATGTACTCTTGCAGTGGCAAAGCTACCTCTCAAATCTTTTAAATGAAACAAATCCGTTGGAAATGGAAGATATTAAATATCCAGGAAGTGGCACTTGCTTTGAGAAAAAACAAGAAACGCCCAGGACCAACAGGGCTTACTTCGGATATGATTAAATTTGCCGGGGTTTATGGACTTGCTGGACTTTTTGAAGCCCTTAAGGAAGTTTGGGACTCTGGTAGATTCCCTTCCGAGTGGAGCGAAAGTGAAACTGTTAGTTTTTCCAAAGGAAAAGGCGATCTGATAGAAATTGGATCCTACAGAGTCCCAAACTTCCATTTAAAGTTTTCGCATTTAAAGTTTTCGAAAAAGTACTTGAAAAACGACCGAGACAATTGATAAAATAGATGACATGCAATTTGGCTTTTTGGGTGGTAGATCAACAGCCGATGCCGTTTTTTCTTATTTGACAATAGAAAGAGCTGTTTGCGGAAAAGAAAAAATACCTGCATCACATTTGTTGATCCCAAGGACCTGATCCCATGGGCTCTTAGGCAACAGTTTTCCCGAAAATCTGGTTCGACTATTAATGTGCCTGTACACCGTGTGGAAAACCTGAGTTCACCAGCCCCAAGGATGCAGTGATTACTGTGAAACTGAATTGGGCGTGCATCAGGGCTCGGCACATAGCCCATTGCTATTTATTATAGTAATGGAAGAGGCTACGAGAAACTGTCGTTCCATGGGATATTCTAGATGCAGATGACCTTATGATATTCACTGAAACGGAGTTCCAGTTTATTGAGAAGTTTAATACTTGGAACAAGGTTTCGCAAAAACGTGGTTGAAAAATCAACGTGGATAAGACAAAGCATTTGATTTCAGGCCAAAAGTCTTCCTCACAAAAACTGGAAAATATCCATGCGCTTGTTGTTTGAAGGGAGTCGGCGCCAGTTCAATACTCTGCACTTATTGTAATCAGTGGTTGCATAAAAGTGCAGTAGCCTGAGGAAAATACCTAAACATAATAATAATTATGTTTGTCCAAGAAGCAATAATCCTTCCAATTTTTACTTAAAGCAAATAGCTACTCTACGGATTAAACAATTTGAAACCCTGAGTACTGTCAAATACTTCTGCTATCTGAGTGATATGATTTCCGTTGAAAGTGACGCAATTCGTGCATCATTGGTCAGAATATCCGCTTTCTGGAGGAAATGGCGGTAAATTGCGCCTCTGCTGCTGAATAGAGATATTGACTTGATTACAATGTGTCAAATATTGGAGCTTGTCTCAGGGCAGTTCTGATGTACCGTCCTGAAACCTGGGCGCAGACCAAAGTAATATCCAGTTCTCTTAAAACTGCTGATATGAAAGCTCTGCCTAGGATTACCGGAGTCATTAATAAAGACAGAGTTAACAACGAAGTAGTAGTTAAAATGACAAGTCTTGTTGATCTGGACAAGCTGCAAAAGCGGTCGCGGCTACGAGGCTGCGATGGTATGGCCATGTTCACCGAGGAGAAAAAGACCATTTGTCAAAATCAACAGACAATGTTTCAGTCCCCAGGAAAAGACCAGTAGGAGGGCCTAAAAAACCCTGGATCGATTGTGTTAAACCAGACTTGAATACTTTAGGCCTCAAATCCATAGACTACTATGTTCGAATGGCGTGTTATTTTTCATTTGATACCATTTGCTAGCTGAAATGCTATTCAGAATGCCCTCGTCTGAACCGTTGTTTTACGCGCTGTCCGGATGCCCAACCCTCCTTCAATAGGAAAACGGACAATAAACGCATTAGTAGTAGTTTTTTGCGCTTAAAATATTTTGTGGGTCAATTTTTTGTCTGCTTACCTGTTGTTGGCTGAATTGTCACAGCTTGGAATTGTTTTTTCGCTGCGCGCATTTTTCTTCAATGTTGCTTGATTCACTCCTAAAATTTGAAATATTACTTACATTGACTTTTTGACTAATTATTATCGGCTTAATGACCTATAATTGGGTCTTTGCAAGGAAAAACATTTTTAATTCTTCCCTCTGCACTTTCAAGTTGGTTGTATGTTTTTCCATCGGTTTGTTGAAATTTCTTCATTTTTTCGTTATGGAAATTTTTTTCTGAATATATTGGAAAAATGAATCAAAGTTTTCGCCCTCAGAAAAGTCAAGGTTTTATTTTTTGACCGTTTTTTGAACTTTTTGAGTATTCTCGAAACCTACCCTGTTCTATCTGAGATTTTGGGTTAAATTCACAGAACGGGTTGTTTGAAGCTCACTTGCTAATGCGAGTACGCCCGAGTTTTTCTGACAAAAAAAGTTATTGATCTCGTAAAAGTCAAAAAAGTTTTTTGCTTTTGAACTTTTTGACTTCGAGAACTACGCTACCAGGTCTAAACTTTTGGGTTTAATCGAAACTAAAGGTTGCGTGAATCTCTTCTATATAAGCGGCTATGTTTTAACAAAAGAGCTATGATTCTCAGAAATCTCAACTTTTTGATTTGTTGACAGTTTTTTGGACTTTTTTCGCTAAATATCCTACCAAATCTCATATCATAAAAACTGGTTTTTGAAAGCCTACTTTTATAATCGGATATGCACTCTTCATTTTAAAAAGTTACGGCCTTCAAACAAGTCAATGTTTTGAAACTTTGACATTTGTTGGAAACTTAAAACTACCGTTCCAATTTTCAAGTTGTGTTCAATCGAGAAAAAATCGGTTTCGGGAATCTTCTCTGATTAAGCGGCCCTAGCCTGCTTTTTTGCAGAAAGATGTTATGGTTTTTGGAAATTCTTTCGACTGTTTATTAGATTTTTTTGACAGTTTCTTAGAAGTTTTTTGAGTTTTCTTGAAATTTACGCAATCAAGTTTGAGATGAAAAGTTCAATTGAAGGAACCGCTTGCCTTAATTGTTCTTACAGAAGCGGCGACTTTTCAAGTTTTGTTTAATGAAATGTTTTCTCCTTGAGACAATTTTTTATCTTGAAACTTTTTATCCAGAAACGGCGGCTCATTATTTTTTTTATGTGAGAAAAATTTGTTATCGCATTTTTTAAAAACTCTTCCAACTTATTTTTATTAGAGAAACAACTAAAGTATTGGGCAAAATCCAATTTTTGATATCACTTTTCTTTACCGGATCAGTATAGCAAATTCATTAAATATCAAACACGTACCTCCAGCTTTAGCTGGCCCCTAGTGTTTTTTATCAAGACTTACGAAAACTTTAGTTCACCTTTTTTTGTTCGATTAATGTTTTTTTTTTACTATGTTTGTTGTATCGCAAGTTGTGCGAAGGTCCGTCCGCTTCGCCTCGGTGTCTTACGTAACCTCGTTTTTTCGTTTTGATCAAAGTTTTTTTCGGGCCAAATTATTTCGGCCTATATTTTATTGGCTAGGTGACCTAATTTTGGTGGTTTTAGGTGAAGCAAAATTTTTACGCTCCCCTTCGCACTTTTAAACTTCGTTGCATTTTTACCTCTCGACCTGTCGAAATTTCTTTTTTTCTTTCGGCTGCATGGATATAATCTTGTTTTATATCGGATGCGCGAAAAATAGTTTTGTGTGCCTGCGTGTGCTATGAGGGGAAGGTGGACGCTAGTTTTTTTAAATTAGTTTTAATTTAAAAAAATTGGTCTTGAAGAGTTTCTGCTCGGGTATTTTCTGCATTGTCATCGCCTGGTTAGTTTAGTTGTGATGCTGATATTGCGTTCTAATGATTGGGAGTTTTTTAACAAGTATCGTCGTTCATTGTATCGCAACCTAGTTGTATCGCAAGTGGTGCAAAGCTCAGCTTAGCCTATGTGTCCAAAAATGAACCTATCTAATTTATCACTATCAAAGGAGGATGATATTTTTTGTGGTGAATTGTGCTCTACAATACCAACGAATATTATGATTAGCGAATAAACCAAAAAAAACGAATGTAAAAGCAGATTGTGCGAGTAGCACAGTCTTTTTTTAAAAAAAGTATCCGATTTTGAAACTTTTACGTTTTTTTTTTGAAAATGCTACTTGAAGATTCAAGAGCTAGTTAATAACAGTATTATGCATGCATAAAAAAGAGTTTTTTTTAGCCGGTGGACGTGAAGTGATCGGAACATTAACATGAAAATGTTTTCATTGTAATAGCAACCTGATTGTTTTCCTATTAGTTATGCTAGCGAGCAGCTACACTTTTAGTTCGAGCCTTCATTTTTTTCTTACGTAACTCGCAAATAAAAGTGTTCATTAAGATTGTTCACTTGTGTGATTTGTTGCTATAATCACGATCTGTAGCATTGGAAATTTCATAGCATCTGTTCTCGGCTTTATTTGTGGAGATAGTGTTTGTGATTGAATAAGCTTCCGTGACTGAGTGGTTAGTGCGTGAGACTCATAATTTTTAGGTCGTGCGTTCGAGTCCGAGACAGCCGAATTTTTTGTTAACTCGAGGCTAATTTTTTCTTTTTCTCAATGCACTTCTCAGAGCTCCAGAGCTTCTTTTTGTCGTGTTCTCGCTTGTGTTATATTCCTGATCTGAGCAGTTTCAAAAATTGAGGAGCGTCACAAAACAGACTTAGTTCGTCTTCTGACGACCTCCTAGACTGGGTTCTTTTGATATGATTATTTCAGAAAGCTAATTTGAATGTGGACCTATACTGGAAGCAATTTATTATTATTATATAAACGTCGACGTTTTTGGTATCTTTATTTTGATAAGTAAAAACAGTTTCGGTTTTTCTAGGCTGTATTCCCGGTTCACCGCTCTGGACAAAGAGCAGAAAGGTTTCCTGACCAAGAACGACTTGTTGCGTATTCCTGAACTGTCAATCAATCCTCTAGGAGAGCGAATTGTAGACGCGTTTTTCGTTGATGTCGTTGACGAACAGATTAACTTCCAGCAATTCATGCAGACATTGGCCGTGTTTCGTCCCATAAAGCACAAGGAGAGAAAGGGAACGTCTGAGCTTGCGAACAGTCTGGAAAAGAAGCTGGAGTTTGCATTTCGAGTGTATGACGTGGACAACGACGGTACCATTACCCAGGTGTGTTAAGAAGTTTCGCAACCACGGCAACGGGGCCTCGATGTTAAATTTTCCTAGTCCGCTAGCTTATGATGCGTACCGCTTAAAACGGAGCTGTGAAGCGTAGACGAGAAAGCAGTGAAAGAAGCTTTTCAACAAGTTGTAGAGCAAAGTTCGCTTTCTTATTACACTTGCGAAGCAAAGTGTTAAGTACGAACTTTCTATTTTTTCAGCATAAGTCGCAATTTTTTGTTGCGACTTAAAGCAACCTTGATTTCTTTAATTCTAATTTGCGAAAATCAACAAAAAATAAAGAAATCAAGCAAAGTTCTGCATATTTCGACTGCCCTGCAACTTCGTTTCGGATACTTAACAAAATTTCAATATAGAAAATTTTGAAAATAATTTGAGTTTATTTCTAATTTGCGAAAATAAACAAAAAATAAACTCTAAATTAATTTCAAAATTTACTATATTGAAATTTTGTTAAGTATCCGAAACGAAGTTGCAGGGCAGTCGAAATATGCAGGACTTTGCTTTGAGGTTTTTTTCTAGTTATGTTCGAACATTTATATACCCAATCCAAGCAACGACAACTTTTAAAGCGAAATAAGTTAATTGCAGGGATCTCATTAACAACCTATTTTACTGTTTCTAACCAACGTTCACACCTCGAATGAGCTAATCGTATGTGTATGCATCTCTCATGGGTCCCATGGTTCAGGAAAAACCTGGAAAAGTCAGGGTTTTTAAAAAAGGTCAGGTAAAACAGGGAAAAATTAGGGAATTTGAAATCTGATTCCTTGATTTTCCAAAAATATTGAAGCAAGGATTGAAGTCGGCCGTTTTGCAAGATGGGGGTAGTCTAAAATATCAGTTGTAGTTTTTTTGTGTTGTAACTAGTGTTTTTGTGTAGTCTGAGATTGTGTCCATTCTTCACATGATGGTGGGAGACAACATATCAGAGGAGCAGCTGAACAGCATAGCTCACAGAGCAGTGTACGAGGTGATACACTGTGACGAGAATGCTCCCGACAGACAGATCACGTTTGAACAGTTCAAAAAAGCACTGGAGAACATTGAATTCGAGCAGAAAATGAGCATCCGATTCCTTCACTGAAATCATCAAAAGGAAAAATTCTGAACTGTATTCTTACAATTTAGACTATTGCAACTTGAACTGTTGCAGTATAATTTATAATTATGTAAATTCTAATGTTAACTGTTATACGCGTAATTTTCAATTCAAATTTTTGTAGCTGAGGCAGTTTTTGAATGAGGGTATTTTTTGAAAGCTGAAACGAGGCTCACTAAATATTTAGCATTATGACTAGCTGGCATTTTCAACGAATTATGCCCTGCTGTTGTCGAAAGTTTTCTTGAATTTCATTTGTTTGAAATTGTAGCACTCAAAGGTGCGCGCTCATTAATTCGATGCTTCAGTAAATTACCAGATCATTAAAACTCAAGCATGTAAAAATACGGTGGTAGGTCAAGCCGAAGGGCCAACAAACCGAAATAAGATTACCATTCCAACAAGCCGAAAATTAATAATGTTATGCGACACACCAACAGATTGTCATCGTTGTTATGCAATTGTTACCCAATTCTGATGTAATTTACGTTATTCTGATGCAATTTTGGCTTTAAGATATGGCGGTTTGTAGACAGCAGTTTCTTGAGTATCCGTCAAAAATACATTACAAATAGTTAACAATTAAGCAACCGATTGCGTCACTCAAGCGTGCGCGCTCACTAATTCGATGCATCAGAAATTTAACAGATCATTTAGATTAAATCATGTAAAAATGCGTTACAATAATTTAACAATTAAGCAACCGATCGTCATTTTTACGCTTGTGAATAGCAAGCCTTATCAAATTGGAATATATATATTTTTTCGAATCAACAATTTGTTAATCACTCGAATAATTGAAGTATGCCCTGACCTGGTTAAATACTTGGAATTTTTAATCAATCTACAAGGACTGCTATTACAGCACACTTTAGAAATGATATCCGCACTCTTGATGTTCAGAATAAGGTCAAATTTCTTGGCTCCGCGGCACCTTAGGCCTAGAGGTAACAACTACGCCTGGGTTCGAATCCAGCTAGCACCTGAAAATTTTCCGTTTTCAAAAAAAAGTGTTAATGTAAAATAATGAGTTGTTATCACTTACACATGTCGCTGTGATTTTTTTCAGGAAAGTTTCAAAATTTGTTCACTCTCAAATTCAATTTTTCGCGGTTTGACTTTCGATTTTGTTTGTTAAAAGGAATATTGTGAGTTGAAAATAAGGCTGAGTCCAAACAGCAAAAGGTTACAGGCCACAAAAAGCGTGACAGACTTCTAGTTTTTAAAATAGACATTTGAACTGAACTTACAAAATCTTCAAAAACGTTAATTCGTTTTTTTGGTTTACTTGAGTTCTTAACCTTTTTCTCAATTACCTGTCGGCTAAATTTTTGATTTACTGCTGTATTTTGTAAGTTTTCTAGTCTTAACTTTAAATGTTTTGCTCCTTTTCTTTTTTATTTAGCCTTAAAAATTTTGATTACAATTACATTGAAAAAAAGTAGTTAAAACTATTATATAGATCTTGATGATTTTTTTTGTATTTATTTTTTTCAGGAAAAAAAACCAAAAAGTTTTGCGCTCGACTTTGATTTTTTGGCATTCAACTTAAGTAGGAACTGTATTTTTTTTCTAACGTAACTCGAAAATAAAAGTGTTCACATATGTGCCTTTTTGCTATAATTAGGATCTGTAGCTTTGGAAATTTCATAGCATCTGCTCTCGGTTTTATTTGTTGCTAGTGTTTGTGATGGCTTATGAGTCCGAGGATGTGCGGTTAAGGCTTGAGGCTCTTCATTTCTAGGTTGCAGTGTGTCGTAGGCTGGAGTGCGAGACGTCGCCGAATTTTTGCTCATTCGAGGCTTATTTTTATTTTTTTCTTTGCACTTTTAGAACTCTAGAGCAGTTTTTCTTCGTGTTCTCGCTAGTATTTGCGAAGAGCAGCTTCCCCTCAGTGTTAAAGGAATGCAAACTCCACTATCAAAAAGCAAAAGTATAAAAGTTACAAAAAAACGAGATTGACTTCTTATTTCGGAAGATTTCTAATCAATCTTCAGATTTCCCAGCAGAATCAAAATTTTACCCATTGATCCCGTTTTCTCATTTTCATCAAAACAGCACCAATTGTTAATGCTACTTGAAATTCAGAGAACTTGAAGGCCATAATTTTTTTCTTCAAAAATCGAAAACAGAAGTCTAATTAGAAAACAAGCCAGCTGAATATGAAAATAGCCGAATCATAAAACTCTTTTGAACATTAAATAGCAAATTTTTAAACTATCAATAACAAGTCTATCTGATAATAAATCTTTTTTAGTTTCTTATTTTCGGATTTTTTCTCAAGCTTGAAAGAATATTTTATGCGTATTGTATATCAAAAAGGAAGTAGCAGAGACTGTTCCGACCTCATTTATTGAAAAAAATCACAGAAAAAAACATCAAAGCAAATTTGTTTCGAATCAAATTGCTTTGGACAAAGAAATTAATATGACACCATGAATTTCTCCTTTCGAGCTTTCTGGGACGTAGTGAAAATTGGATGAGGAAAATGAACCTGCTTTGTAGTATCTTCCCATTTTTTGAAGTGATTGCAAGAAAAACTATTTACCCTTGCAATCAGCAAGGGTATTGTAACCGGGTTACAAGACTTTTCTCCCGTGAACAGAATTGTTCATAGAATTGTCACTTTTAATAGGAACAGTAATTTTTTTGACTGAGGGCATGCAAACTGCTGACATGCTCAATTTTGAACAATTAAATAAAATTTCTGTCATTTAGTTTTGATAGTAATTAGATGAAGATCATTTTTAGAAAAATATTGAATTTCTTCGAATTTGTGGGTTTTGTCATTCTTAACGTTGGTTACTTTTTCTAATCTGCTACCTTTGTGATAGGCTGTTTTTCCGAAACATAGGTTTTTCATTTATACAGTTTTTTCTTTAATTGAAGTTTACGTGGCTAGTGATTTTCTCGTTTTTTTTTGTTGATAAAACTGTTTTGCTTATGTTATATCGGCTTATTCAACCTTTTTTGCGTTGAATTACTTCGAATTCGTGGGTTTTTGTCATTCCTAACGTTGGTTACTTTTTCTTATCTGCTACCTTTTTGATGGGCTGTTTTTCCGAAATATAGGTTTTTCTCTTATACCGTTTTTTCTTTAATTGAAGTATATGTGGTTAGTGATTTTCTTGTTTTTTTTTTGTTGATAAAACGGTTTTATTTATATTATATCGGCTTTGTCAACCTATTTTGCGTAGTTTTGGTGGCAAAATATATTACAATGCTTTTATGTATTTTATTATAGATGGGTCGTATGGCTCAAACTTTTTTTGTTACAATAGGTTTATTTCGACCCCTCAGGGGTGGAGCACAATCTTGTAACGCATTGTTTTTTTTGTATCGCAAGTGCTGCAAAGTTTGCCTTCGCCTCTGTGTTCAAATTTGCTATAGTGTACAAAGATAAAGGTGTATCTCAGAAAAAAATGAACATCAATTTATAGCTTTGGTTTTTGCGTTTCATTATGTCTGAGAAAATTACGTTTGCGTTTCAGTTGCGTTTCATTATGTCTGAGAAAAACCTTTAAATAGGCTGAGTAAAATTAGTTTAACTTTACTTAGTTTCTGATTAGTCAGTTTAGTTTTTGTGTACCGTTCAATTAGTTTGGTTAAGAAATTTCTCTCACACTTAGCTCGACAAGGACTTGGTTTAGCAAATGCATGAGATCTAATTAAATTCATGCAAGCTTGTTTGAAAAAAAGTTCACCAAATTGGGCATGTCAGGGTAAAGTTCTGATTTTTCTGATTGCCTTTTAAGCTGATGGAATCCTTTTGTTTGATTTTCAAAATGATTACTTTGAGTTAGAAATTAATTTTGAAAGTTGTTCCTTCTTACGCTTTGTAAACACACAAAAGTAATATATTTTCTATAAAACAACGCATGAAATGGATCCAAAATCCTTTTCATCAATTCACTAAAGAAACAATTCTGAGCGGAATTGGATCGCCTTTAGCACGCTGCTATCAGGAACTATGACGCACGAAATAGTACTATTGGTAGTTTTCAGAACTTCATAAAAAGATCTTAGCTGAAATATCTCTTTTTGACCAGTTTTTTCTTTTTTACTTTTTGCCCTTGCGATAAGCTACGCGGTATTGCAATCGGGTACTAATTTTTTCCTGTAAAGATCTTTGTTCACAGAATAGACGAAATGGTAATCATTTCATAAACACCATAGTTAGTTTGATGTGTAGTAGTTGCATACTAAATATGGGCTTCGGGTGCCTGTTGATAGTGATTTTTTAGGTATTCTAAGCCGAAAATGTTCGGTAGAATTTCGGCGCTAGAAGAGTTCGGCTTTAATTTCGTTGGCTTATCTTGCGAATATTTTTTTCGCTTAATTTTTATTTGGTATTATACGAGAGTGATTGAATTTTTGAAAGAATTAATTCAACCTTTCAGACTCTTTGAAAAAGTGAAAAAATAAACAGAAAATTTTCAGCAATTTTTGAGAAAAATTTCGAAACTCTTTGGATTTTTAATAAACTATTATTTTTTCAATTCAAGCAACTTGGTTCAAACTTTTGTTGTTTTTGGTTGTTCGATCGGCTGTATTTATTGCATTTTTTAGGGGAGCAAATAAAGTCGCTCATCAGTTTTTGCGCAGTTTTTTTAAATTTTTTTTCTATTCAGTTTTCGACATTCAATTTTTCTAAATTTTGTGTTCATTACCTTCTTAACCACATTTTTTAAAAGTACCTCATTTGAAAAGCGAAGAACGAGTAAAGCTGAAGTCTCTCAAATCAGAATTCAATCAGCTTGAAACTTTCGGTAATTTCGTTCAAACTTGCTGTGTCAACTTGAGTTGTAGTCTTCTAACTTTCCTAAAACACATGTTGTTTTGCTTTAGTTTTACTTAGGGCCAATGTGATAAACCATAAATGAAAATTTTTTGTAGTTTTTGTTGCCATTTTTTAAAAAAAAATTTCCCCAAACGTTTTTTACGTACAGATAAGAATGGTACGTTTTCAGACTTTTATTTTGGAAAAAGGTTCGATGACTTGTATTTCTTGTCTATTTAATAAATGGTAGTTTAATTGCGTTTTTCTAATTACATTTTTGATTGCGTTTTCGTTTAAGTTTCTCTTTGTGTGAACTTGTTTTTGTGTGAAAGGAA